TATTCAAGGAAAAAAAAGAGCATCATTTGATGATTTGATATTCGCATTTCATTGTTTAAGCTTGTAACTTCTATTACATAATTAAAAATAATCTAGAAAAATTATATAATCTTGTTGTAATAAACGTATATAGTACAGAATATTTCTTTCCTTAAAAAAAAATCCATAACAAATTATGTTAAGAATATTACTTTTAATTTTTTTGCTAAAGTTTATAGTTGTCAATATGTTTTATTTTGGTAAGATTCAATAAAATCTTCTATTATACTTTGTAGGAAACTAATGCTTTATATATTTAAAAAGATTTGTTTTTTAAGTAAATTTATTTATTTTTTTCAAAAAAAAAAAAAAAAGAGAATTGGTATACTTGAGTTTTTAGTGACAATACTTGAGTTTTTACTTGAGTATACTTGAGTTTTTAAGTAAATTTGTAATTTATCTTGACTGAAGCTCTTATATTTCTACGTTTCCTTAATGCACAAGTACATGGGTGAAACCATGTACTAGTAATGTACAATTTCTGGTGAAGCTCTTATAGCATTTTCTCCTAATGATCCAGAAAAATTGAAAAAGGCGTTACCCTTGGCCCTGAATCTCCAAGACGATATAGAAAAAGTGTCAGTGGGATGTCTTTGTGGCTTGACGGCTTTAAGAGAAGTAATGTTGTTTCTGCATCTGGTATACTTGAGTTTGCTTACAGGTTTGCTTTCCGAAATTTACTTAAGTTTTTAGTGACAATGTTAAAATTATTCCGTTGAGACATTAAAAATAAGGAATTGGCAATCCTCTTTATGTGATCATAGGGACAAAACCGAATTGGGTAGTGAAGATGAGAAATCTTATCAGTCCGATTAGTGCCATTTTTATAGATTGATCAATGGATTTTGTAAATGTTGCTAACAAATCAATTATGTTTCATAACTTGATGCTTGAATCTTGGTGTTAGATTTTATTACATATATGCTGCTGTTTTGATTCTTTGTAATTTACGTGAGAATCGTAAAAGGAGGTATTAGTTGCTTTCTTATGGTAATAAATAATTGTCGTAGCAGACCTCATTACAGCTTAAAATGTCATATTACTGTGTTTGGCTGGTGTCATTGCTTTGCTAAGAATGTATAATTCAAGTATAATTTACATCTTAATATGATTTTTGGTCTCAGTATCTCAAGTGATCTCTTTCTCCACCCTCTTTGTCAATCTATCCTTGTTGGAGATTAATTTCTTGTAGATTCAAATCATGGTGAAACTACTGATATGAACAGTACTCTGATTGCACTTTACTTGATGACTATAAGAGTATAAGCTGGCTACTTCTTTTGCAGGGATTTGCAGAAGGCGACTCAGAATTTCACAACATTGGTTGGCCAGGGTGCATATGGTCCTGTGTACAAAGCTCAGATGTCAACTGGTGAAATAGTTGCTGTGAAGGTGCTGGCAACTGATTCAAAGCAAGGGGAGCGAGAATTTGAAACAGAGGTAATGTCATATTTTAATCAGTGCAGCTTCTTAGCGGCAATATAACTATACCAAGTTTCATCCTTAGATGTCCTGTGTGGTAGACAAGTTGCTGTCTCTTTTTATGCTGTAGTTATTGTGCTGATTGATTCTTGATCTCACCTTCTTTTATTGCATGCTCTTGTTTCTCAGGTTAAGCTGTTAGGAAGGTTGCATCACAGGAACCTCTTGAATTTGCTTGGATATTGTACAGAGAAGGGAAAAAACATGCTTATATATGCGTATATGAGCAATGGCAGCCTAGCTTCCCATTTATACTGTCAGACAACATATGTTAGTGTTTATATGTCCAAAAATATATATGTTAGTGTTTATATGTCCATTTTGTTTTAGTTTTTTAAAGTGTAATATTACAAGTTATTGAGGCAAATATATGTGTTTTATGTATATTATGATTATATATAAGTATTTGGTACAATTTATGTGAAAAAAATGCAAATTTTTTATTTTTTTTTTATTTTTTGGGGCACTTTTGCCACCGGGTCAGTGTGAAAACCGGTGGGAAATGTTATAGTTTTGCCACCGGTTCACTTGAAAACCGGTGGGAAAAGTCCTCCAGCTATAAGATAAATCACATGTTTTTGCCACCGGTTCACTCCAAAACCGGTGGGAAAAGTGGTTTTTGCCACCGGTTTTGAACCGGTGGGAAATCTTTGGGGATTTAGCACCCCCCAAATCAAGAACGGTTCAAAACCGGTGGGGAATGTGTGGTTTGAACCGGTGGGGATTGAGGTTTTTCGCCTAGTGGAAGAAGAAAACTAAGGACACACCATAAGATGACACGTGTCATTGCTGGTGTGTCTTTTAGTATATAAGTTAAGTTATTATTATTATTATTATTTATTATTTATTATTATTATTATTATTATTATTATTATTATTATTATTATATAGTTATTATTATAGTTATAGTTATTGATGAAAATAAAGCTGTTTGAATTTTGATATTACCCTCACATCTCAACATACTTTTTGCTAATGTGATTAATATATAGGTTTATCTTTAACTAGGTGTGAAGCCAGTGCGATGCATGGCTTTGTTTTTATTATTATTCAAGATTTGTATCTTATAATATAATAATAATAATAATAATAATAATAATAATAAAAATAAAAAACAGATAAAGTCATAAACTAAAAGACATTTATTATTATTATCATTGGTAAACTATTGCAATTAATTAAAGACTTCTTTTTATTAATAAGATATTAAAAAGAAAAAAATAATAATTTGTGAGGTTCAAATAGAATTCTCTTCTCCCATTTCCAAAATTTAAGATTTGAAAAATGGATTCAGTAAATCGCTTAATTTCATCAATTTCTCTTTCATTTCACTCTCTGTTTACATCAACTGAATCAAAACACCAAAAATTAGATCGAATTGCAATTGAGGTTTTTCCCCTCAATCCCGTTGAACTTGTCGATTGTTATCCTATTTTTGTCTAATTTCAAACCAAGGAGAAGGCGATGTTTGATGTGAAATTGGAGTAGTTTGATGCAGGGGCGAAGTTAAAGGTGATTAAATTGTGGTTGAAGGAGGCAAAAGATTTGGTTGAGAAAACACGTGCATTTGTGAGGAAAGGGGTTTCTAAAGAAGAAGGTGAGGCTATTTTATATTGAGAAATTGAAGGCCCTTGATGCTACTGTCGTTTTCTTAAGTTCAAAAAGCTGGAGTTGCCCACAAAAAAATTGATTTCAGAGAAAGTCTTGCTTTGCCTGTTCTTGACGAAATGGTCGAAAATGTAAGTATTGATATTTTTTTTTTAATCATCTTTGTTTATTACTTATATATGTATTTATTGTTATTATTATATCAAGGGTGTTATACTTGTATTAAAAACAATTAAAAATAAGTAAACCAAGGGTGTTAAATAATATTAAAATTGATATAACAATTCAAAAATAAAGGTAAACAAAAGTATTAAGTATATGATTTATTGTTAATAATAAAGCATATATAAAAGAAAAACTATCATCTAGAATCTCATAAGTTGTTACATAATAAAAAAATTAAAAAGCTAACATAAGTATTATTTGTTACTATCATCTAAATCTCTATTTCTTGAACATGGAGTTTTATTATGTTTCAAGAGAATCCTTGATTCATAAAACTAAACCTGCATCATACACAAAATACACAAATTGAAGTGTTAATATTAGTATACTATTAAATAATCTATACGATAAAATTAGAAACAGTAAGAAATATCTAAATGAATTATATATATTCTAAAAAATATATACCTTTATCTTCTTTGATGTGATTTGGTCAGATGAATCATGATCCTTTTCAGTTGAATCGATATTATTAAAAGGGCGTTTTGCAGTTTCTTCAATGACTGTAACTTCATCTTTATTCTACATCAAAATTATTTATGTAAAGTTTTAAGAAAATAAAATTTTAAATTCATGACTTCTAAATAAACATTAAATACTTGTAACAATTATTTAGTACCTCAATGACACTTTTGTCAAAAATTCTCATCACCGTAAAAGTTTGTCGAATTGTTGTACGCTTATGAGCGGCGATTTTAACTTTGAACACTAACTCTCTTCCAATGATATTTGCAATCATCTTTGGAATTTGTGTACCATCATCTTCATTGTCATTATCATCATCATTATGATCATTGATATGTCAATTTTAATTGAAATAATAAAGCATTTGTAGAACAATTTAATCTTTTAACTATTGTTTAAAAGCAATTATTAAAACCTTTTCATAAGTATGAGCCTCAAAAAGAGTACTTGCATCTTGTCCATTAGTTTCTTAGCTTCTTCATAAAAAACTACGAATATTGTTGACCCACTATGATCGGTAACACTAAGCTCCAATTGATATCTGATTGAGAAAAAAAAATAATGCATGAAGAAATTAGGCATTATATAATTTATTATTCGTTTAATCTACTATTGTAATATGGATAAAGAAGAAATTTGAAACAAACCTTGGGATGGGTCTTTCAATTTGTTTCTCACAAGGAATGCACCAAAAATCTGTTTTTCTTGGAGTGATACGTCTTTTACCTGCTGAGCATGAGATATAATACCAACTATTTTCACTCATAATTGTATCCACTTTAGCCATGCAATAGAAGATCAAATCCTATATGATTTTAAAAATAAAATTAGGTTTGAATTTAAGATTTATCATATACTTCGTATTAAGTATAATAAAGTGATGTATTAAAATACCTTTTCTAAAGTTTTTTGTACATGATTCATAAGCGTTAAAATATCAACTTTTTTAGAGTTGATTTCTTCCGGTCCAATGTTGATATGCTGAATTTCAAGTTTTTCAATGGTAGCATTATCTAACTTCTCACTGCATTGTAATGATCATATACAAGAGATATATTTATGTAGAAAGAATAGCATAAAAATTAAAATTATTGAAATAACATACCTCCATAAAGATTTCAATTCATTAACCTCAGAAATTTGAAGATCAATATAAATTTTGGTTGATGCAAGTAGTTAGATTAATTTTCCCTGTAAACAAAATGACAATGGCAAATTAGGTTCTTCGTTGTAAATATTAAAAAATAGTTATTATAATGACTAATATATATGATACTTACCATTAAAATATTTGACCATTGTTGAAGTAACAACTATACCAAAAGGCTTAGTAGAATCAACAAGTAAGTCTTTTTGTCTTGAATAATCAGGAAATACATCATCCCAAATCTTTAATTGGATTCGTTGTCCCCTAACCATGATATCAAAATACAAATAATTTACTAATAAATCTAAAATAAATCAAATATAATTTATCTTACAATAATAAATCTTAGTTTATCGTAATTGACAAAAATAATATATACAAATATATTAAAATAATAATTACCATTTGTCTTCTATTTCAATTGAATCTCCAATTTCGTTTACAACCATACCAACCACATCTTGTAAGACAAAGTGATATACAAAAAAATAAAAAATAAAAAAAAATTAGTAAAACGAATGATAACACTATAGAATTTTTTAAAAAATAAAATTGAAAATATGTAAAATATATACCAGGGAGTGTTGCATTACTACGGAACTGATCTAAATGTTGCAATTGAACAAAATCAAATCTATGCAACGGAATTTTATTATTATTTGCAACGCCTTTGATAGTTGTATTTTGAAAAAATTGTATCATTATCTTGTTATCGCTCACAACACGATATTCATTCTTGTTAGGTACAACCGAAAAATATCGAATTGTGTAAACTTTGCCTTCAATTAGTTTTGAACGAAATTGTTGGACAAATTTTCCTTTGATTGAAGCATAGACATAATCACCCTACATATGCAAAATAATATTTTATGTTAAAATAATATTGTAAGTTACACAATGAATTTAAAAAAATATTATATATTATTCAATGAATTTAGAACGATAAGTATTATCAAATAAAAAAAATAAAATTAAAGGCATACCTCTTCGTGAATTAAAACCATGTCCAAACTAATCAAACTATTATGTTTCCGAAAATTCAAAACATCAAAAAGCCTTGATACGCGTACTTTAATTTTTCAATCATTTTTGGAAGAACTAAGTTCTCGTATCGACGAAGTAGACCTAAGAAAACAATGCAATGAAAAAAATAGTTAAAAATAATATTACCAGTAACTACAATTTGAAAAAAAAAATTGAGTTTAAGGAATTAGACCGACATTTTCTTAAACCGCAATATAAAATCCTAAATAAACCACAATATAAAATCCTAAATTGTTTTGTATGAAGTATTGTGTGATTCTTTGGTGGTGCGTGAATTAAATAATGCCTATTTATAATAATAACAAATCATAAGGCTAATTAAATCAATTCATATCTCTTTCCTAACTTAAATTTTATCATTATTCAAATTGCAATCATTAAAAATTCCTAACAGTCCAAATAATAAAATGTATACATCCGATGTAGGTTATGTTATTTTCGTCTAACAAAAAATAGATACAAGTACTTAATAACTTTGATTTGTTACTAATAATACATGTGCTCATTTAATTTCTTAACAAGTGAATGTCCCGTACGATGCCTCAAATTGAAATTCATTGTAAATTGAACGATGCCTCATGTATCGTACTACTTCAGTGATATCACCTTCTGTATACTTTTTCACCCGAAATTGGTCCTCATTCAAATCATCTCTACACAAAATCTATTAAAATTTTTGAAACACAACTATAGATCATTAACAAGGTTAATAGTACCCAAAAAAAATCAAAAAACAAAAAACAAGCATCTAGTACTAAAGTGTTATCTAATTAATACCTTTTCAAAAATAGTGTCAGGTGGAATTCGTGACATCCAACCATATAGATACTGGCTGCTTAGTCGGAGGGACCATTTGAGAGAGTAGCTACTCTTGGGATTGGAGACCAAATGAAAATACAAGGTGACCAAAAATTCAGCTCTTTCCAGGCCATCCCAAAAGGCTGGATAGTTTTTAAGCAACAAAGTCTTCCAAATGTGCTCCTCTTCATAGGGATAATGAAACAGAAGATCGCCCAAGTATTTTAATTCAGAATTTTTGGTTACTCCTTCAAGTAGTTTCTCCATGATTAGCAAGACATTCTGCATATCACCTCGCTTTTTCAATATCATCACAGAATCATCAAATGTCACTCTATCTCGAGGTGATAGTTTAGTCTCAAACCTAACAATTTTGGAGCCAATATGATTGATAACAACTTGTGTGATCAAAATGTTTGTCCAATCATGCAAACCATCAAGAGCACCATATTTCTCATGATAGTCAAGCACCCCTATTACGATACTTTGCATGATTCTCAAAGATTCGCGTTTCAAAAGATTAGGACACTCGACTTGGGGAAATATATCTTTCCAATAAACATATTCACCTAGCCACCTATCTTCTTTCTTTTCATGATCTTTTAACCAAGATGCAATGGTGAACGATTTTGAATAGTATGAAATTGCATCGCCATCATGAAAGATTGGAAAATCTGACGGTGGGAGTGGCATTCCTCCTGTAGACGTTTGTTCAATGAGGTCCACTTTCTCATCTAACACTTCATCCACCACCTTATCCACCACTTCATCCACCTTATCCAAATCCCCAACAACTACTATCGACTCCTCATTCAAATCTTTCCCAAAAGAATTATCATCCTTTTCTAGCTTTTCTTTTCCCTTTGATGTGCCACTTTCTTTGGAACCCTACAAAATATTGAAAACAAATATATCGTATATATATAACCCATCATTAAACATTAATTTATTAGCTGGAGATCGAGAATTCACGAACTCTCCACATTAACAAACTTACATACACTAAGTAAAGTAAAGAAACATTTATAGATATATATATATTGCTCATGAATCAATTCATTTAGAATGGAAATACTACTTAAAGATATGTAAATGAAATAACTAACATAAATCAAACAGATACAAACACTATCTACATCTTAGTTAATTTTATGGGTAGCATATGTATAGTACAGTACAGTGTTTACATACATACTATATTCCATATATTATTTACTCGTATCATATTGTAGCGATCAAAGAAGTAAGTCATTTACCTTCTTAGAAGACTTTGAACTTCGAGGGGTAGGCTTTGAACTTGGAGGGGTAGGTAGGAAACCAATATCCATCAGTTTTTTTTTGATGTTCTTTATTCCACATTTTGAGCCTTAAAAAACAAAAATAATAATAATAATAATAATAACTTAACTTATATACTAAAAGACACACAAGCAATGACATGTGTCATCTTCTGGTGCGTCCTTAGTTTTTTTTTTTTTTTTTTTTTTTTTTTTTTTTGAAAAAATAAATAAATTTACTTAAAAAAACAAATCTTTTTAAATATATAAAGTATTAGTTTCCTACAAAGTATAATAGAAGATTTTATTGAATCTTACCAAAATAAAACATATTGACAACTTTAAACTTTAGCAAAAAAAATTAAAAGTAATATTCTTAACATAATTATATTTGTTATGGATTTTTTTTAAGGAACGAAATATTCTGTACTATATAAGTTTATTACAACAAGATTATATAATTTTTTCTAGATTATTTTTAATTATGTAATAGAAGTTACAAGCTTAAACAATGAAATGCGAATATCAAATCATCAAATGGTGCTTTTTTTATTTCCTTGAATAATTTATAATTATTAGAATTTCAATCGATTAGTACTCTATGAATACTTCAATAATACTTGCTTTCCAAGAACGACACATGTTATTATTCTTAGTGTGATTTATCATACCATTTTTGTTGATTTTCAACATTCTATTGATATGATTATAACATATGAAAGTCAAAACATATAATATAGTGTTAATTTTATAGATAGTTATTGAAAATTACCGTGCGTGGCACGAGACCTAACCTAGTTCTCCAATTAAATCTGAGTTCGACTTGTTTTTCTTTTTTCAATCTATTATAAACCATATTTCTATGATTCTTCTCTAAATTTTTTTGTTTCTCTCCGTAGTTTAACACTTGGTATAACGGATATAAAAAGTCAAAGAGTCATATACCAGTTTATTTACGGAAAAGAAATAAATAGATGTAATTTTTTTCAAAAGTAAAAAGGTCGTGGCAAAAATGAATGGTCTCGACCCGACCTGCCCCACTTAAATTTTAATGTGACCCACAATTTACCAATTTTACTAACCGTAGGGACTCCTCCATTGACTCAACCCATTGAACAGGTTTATTGACAATATCCATTAAAGTAGTTTGTACTTCGTGTTATTATGTATTGTATTTTGATCTCTATCGTAAATTTACAATAATTGTCGTATTCGTTCGTTTTTCATTTCATCGAATTTACAATATGTATTTATGATAGGTAATACAACCACAAAAACGTATGTAAACGGTCGCAATTTCCGCAATCTACGACTGTCAACAGTCGCGCAATCTATAATACTACCTCCGTTTTTTTAGGAAGTTTTTTTTTAGTTGACATGTTTCCATTTTAGGTAATATTTGTGTTGTAAAATGTCTGTTTTAACCTCAATTTTTCCAACTAATATTCTCTCTCCTCCCTTCACATGTCATCATCTTCTCCACAAACACTCAAACATCCAACTTCACTCTCTTCACCAGACCACCACTAGTCATTCCACCACCACCATTTCAACCACCCATTAACCCCTTTAACACTAATTCCACCACCAGTCAACCCCCTTCTCATCATACCAACCAATTCCACCACTCGGAAATCTAACGCCACTAATTCCACGGTTTCACTGTCAACCTCTCGCCACTGATTCCACCGTCAACCCAAGTTTTTGAAGGAAACGCCTCTTCCTCTCTGTTGAGCAAAATAGGTCTTGGATTATACTTCATTTGAAACCCATGATGCATGAATACGCCAACCTCTTGGCGTTTCCCGTACCGGGGATGTATCGGGTAGGGGTACGGCCCGAATACATCCCCAAGGCGTACCCTTGAAAAGTGGTACGGGAAGAAAATTTGGGGACGACTGGGAGCAACTTCAGAGATGTTTCGCGATGGATTACCTTCTTTTTCGACGTCCCTAATAAAATATTGATATAAAGTACTGTACTAGTAGAATTATAAAATGTGGAATTAGAAATAGTAAAGCATTATCACGTGGAATAGGTAAGGTAGCTGTAAATCTGTTATTGTATTTAAAAAAAAAAAAGATAAAATTAGCTGTAATTCTGTAAGTTTTTTTCACTCCCTTTTTTCTTTTTTAGTCTTACTTACTCCATGTGTATTACTATGACTCATATTCAATAGAGTTTAGGAGTTTTTTTCCTTTTTAAAAACATTTTTTTTTACGGAAAAACAAGCAAAAATATTAATCAGAAGAAAGGCTTAAGTCAGCCATTACAAAATCATGTATCTCACTTGGATACTCTTCTAACCATACTCTAAGAGAATTAAAATTGCAACTAAGCTTAGCTAAACTATGAGCTACCCGATTTCCATCTCTCTTCACAAAGGCATAAGTACAAGAATGGCAGGAACTAGCAAGCAGAAGAATTGCAGGAACTATGATACACCTTGAGGTTGTCAGTTTCCAGACACACCTTCAAAAAGCCCGACTCCATAGTAACCACTAAAGAGTGTCTCAAAGCCATAGCCTCAGCCACATCCACAGCAAATTTGCCTTTAATCTGTAAGCAATTCAAGTGGCTGCAACAACATCCCCCACATCATCCCGCATTACCCCCCCTAAGCACAAACTAAGCTTAGCAATCAGAACTTCGGCATTGGCATTCTTGCACTCTTGCTCTTTTGCATTCTCAAATTCTCCTACAATGCTAATAGCTTTACAAATAACATCAGCCATATCTTTCTACTCGCCATCATAAACCCAAGCGTTCCTGTGTAACCAAATTCCCCACACCAAGCTTCAGTAAATGTTCCACCAACAGTGGTCCTTAAACATCACTCTCACCTTGCCACACCACTCAACAAAGTTGTTGCCTTCAAAATTCTCTACTTCCAACCTCAAAGGAGAGAGATACCACATCAAACAACTTTAAACGATTAGCAAGCACCTTGGTGACAATTTTATACAACACATTATACAAACTAATAGGTCTATAATCAACAGGAGACTCACATGATTTTTTTTTTTCGGAATGAGAACAATGTGAGTCCGATTAATAGAGCTTATGTCACCATTATTATTGAGAATATCAAGTACTTTCCCAACAACATCAACACCAACAATATCCCAGATCGACTTTTTGAAAAAATATAGCCGACATACCATAAGGGCCAGGTGCTTTTGTGGGATGCATTTGGAACAAGGCTTCTCGAACCTCCTCGGCATTGTACGGGGCAGACAATGTGCCGCGTTATCTATCAGTGACCTTCTCCTCCACCTTGGCAATGAAAGGCTCCACCTCAACATGGCTAATAGAGGCGTAAAGATCAGTGAAGTAGTCCACAAAAACCGCGGAAATCTGATCCTCATAAAAGAAAGTACTACCAGCCACATTTGTTATTTTATATATGTTATTTCTCTCGGCTCTCTGCTTTGCCTTATAATGAAAGAAGGTTGTATTTTTGTCCCCATTTTTTAACCATTCCTACTGGCTTCTTTGGTTCCAGTACAATTCCTCCCTCCGCTCCAACTCATCCATCCGATCATCTATAGCTCGCTTTTGAGCGGTCACCTCATCCGTTTGAGTCTCACTCATAAGACTCTCCATGTTCGCTATACAATTTTTCATCTCTTTAACAAAGTCTTCAAATTTTTCCCTACTCCAAGCACTCAAATTTTCCGAAGTGAAAGCAATTTTTGAGCAAATGTCACCTCCCCTATCCCACGCATTTTCTACAATAGCAGCACAATTTTCATCCCTCAGCCACATCTCCTCAAAGCGATAAAGCCTTACCTTCTTCTTCTTTTTTCTTCGGGGTGTGTAAGGCTTCTTTGATGCATAATAATATAGGAAGATGGCTTGACCGTCTCTTGGAAAGATGTGTGACAAAGGAGCTTGGAAAGCAGTCCTTCCATGCTTGATTAGCAAAGAAATGATCCAGCCTTTGTTGTACATTATCGATGCCTCCCCTATTATTGGTCTAAGTAAAGTCATGACCAATGTAGCTAATATCAATTAACTGGCAGAATTGTATAGCTTCACGCAAAATTTCAACTTCTACATTACAAAAGTCTCGGCCACCTTGTTTCTCACTAGAAAGCAACATGAGGTTAAAATCTCCTCCACACAACCACTCTCCATTCGTATCCATCAGGTTTTTCAATAAAATTCCTGCCTTGTGCTTGTTCTCCTCCTCGGGGTATCCATAGACACCAGTGTATCTCACTAGTAGAAAAAATGAAATGGGCACCGCACTTTTCACACCGGTTCTTGAAATCCGGTGGGAAGAAAAATGGGCGGGATTGGGAAAAAGACTTTTCGCACCGGTTCCTAATAAACCGGTGCGAAATCATCTTTTTCGCACTAGTTTGGACCGGTGCGAATTAAAAAAGAGAAAAAAAGGGGATAAAGGGATTTCGCACCGGTTCAGACCAAACCGGTGCGAAATAGTGATTTAGCACCGGTTCAAACCGATGCGAAATTAAAAAAAAAACCGGGCTCGCGTATTTCTTCTTCTTCCTTTCTTTCCCCCTGCTTTTCTATCTTCTTTTTTCCCTCGTTCTCGCCTTCTCTTCCACCACCTACAGATTCCCACCTTCTCCATTGAAGCCGTTTATGAGCTTTCTCACTCCATTGAAGCTGCTGCACCTCCTTCTCTCTCCATATCTCTCCTCCATTGAACTCGTGCTTTTTATTCTCCATTGAAAAGGATTCTGAGCTTTCTCACCTCCATTGAAGCAACTTCGAGGTAAGATTT